TTGAAGTCTCTTTGGATTGTTGTCAGCTTTGCATTTTTGTTGGTTTTATGTTCATACGGAAACAGCAACAGAACGACTGTACGTGTGTCCTACTGTAGCCTCAGGTTTATATAACGACCTGATAATTGTGCGACAGTGCATTTCAGGTCATGTTATGGAATAACACGAAAGTAACATAATGCGTTCTTTCTCTAACATATAATTAAGTAACATGCTGCACTGGTTTCAGGAAAAGTAACCAGTAGTGTCTAATCCAAGACTTGTTTTGTAGCAATAAGCCCAACACTGATAACGAGGACAGAGAATGTGTGAGTCAGTCAACTCAGATTGCTCTAAACAGTTTTAGACAGTTTTTTTTCCTGCTCTTTGATATGTATTACATCAATAAGAGGGGATGTCCTTATATGGTCACCACTTTTAAGAGTTTGAACACTATTGTACCCAAACACAGCAGATAGAGCTACAGGACAATGTGACTGCACTGGACATTTCCCAGTCTTATTGTGTTCAGGCAGCCTTTGGAGCACTAATAAAGGTCAAAACTTTAAATGTCTGTTCCACTGAGGACAGCCTACTGTCTCCAGTGCAGTATTTTGACGTCACAGTCATCCTTTGTGGGTACAATTACAAGATAACAATGCCACAGAAACTAACTGCTCCAATGCAGTTAGAAGCAAAATGTCTTTAATTTGGAGCAGAACTGCTGCTTTTCATGTTTGTACAAAAGAAGCTTAATCTAATTTCATTTAATTTTCATGTGAACAAACTTTTTTCACTGCAGGGTGGAACAAAAGCAAATCCTCCGGTATTTGTTTGTGCGATGCCAGGGTGTGTATGTGTGTGTATGAATGTGTGTTTGGTACATCTGGACTGCTGAGGACCAGATGCCTTCACATGAATAGAAACCATTCAAAGGTCTCAATTGTCATCCCGTAAATGCTGACAGTAAATGGTCCATGTCAACTGTGAACACACAGGAGGATTTTTAAAAATTTTATCCACTTCATTTATACTAATTAAGTCACTCTAATTAACAGAAACATATTTCTGTATAACACAATTTAACAACGTTGCTGACTATGTTTTTCAGACTGTTCATAGAGCTGAATTAACACCTCATCTCTAAATCTGATACTATTTCAATAAAACCTGAACAAATAACACCATGTCATTTGCAGAGCTGTTGAATTTAACTCATTTCATAAATCTGAGGGCATCATGTGAATAAATTAATGAGGAATCTGAGTCTGAAACAACCTTGGAAATAATGTTTTCAGTTCACACTGTTTTTGTTGTCCTAAAACTAATACGTTTCTCATAAATGAATCCCATTTTCTTTCAGTATTCATATTATTTTTATTTAATATTTAATGAAAATCTGAATTTTTTGGAACAAGACAAATTTTCTTATATGTAAAATCCATACATGCATAATTCTCCTGCATCCTTCTCCAACTCACTTCACCCAGTGTTGCCAACTTAGCGACTTTGTCACTATATTTAGCGAGTTTTCAGACCCCCTTAGAGACTTTTTTGTCTAAAAAGCGACTAGCGACAAATCTGGCAACTTTTTCTGGTGTTATTGGAGACTTATGACTTTTGACGTGAAAGCACGTGTCGCTCTTACTGTCAACAAGCAGAGGGTGCTACTGTGGGCAGTTTGTTAACAATGTTATAGTTAAAAATATTCTTCTTTTACTGTTACTTTTTGTGGATCACAAAACTACTTAAACACACAGACACAGACACACACACACACACACACACACACACACACACACACACACACACA